GCTGGCATTGGCCACCTCTCAAGCGTGTCAAGGTCGGTCTGCATGGCAAAGCTTGTGCAACTCCAGGGCTCCCATCATGGACCATAGCCTTCAACTTGTGTTGTTGAAACATTCCTCTATAGAAAGACTGCAGGAGGAATTTTAACTATGTTAAATACTGTTTAGTCATCTGGCTTGCATGATCTACATCATACCAGTGCCTTGGGAAGTATCAAGAATGGTTGAAGAGCAAAGATATTCTTAGTAGGCCTTAAAACCCCAGAAATTCCACAAGTCTAGGTCTGGCCCAAGAAGGCCATTAGGGAGATGGCCCATCAAAGCCTAGATTTACAGGAATCTGAGTGAAATTGATACCAGGAAGATGCCGAAGATCCTCTATGACAAATGTAATTGCTCTTCTTTGTCTGAGTAATCTCTTGCTAAGAAACGTATCACCTAAAGGGCTCATGCTGGCAGCGAGTGTCATTTTTCACATTGCTATGGAAAGTCAATTTCTTTCTGCTCTCATTAGAGAACATGAATTTTGTGACTTCTCTGTTTCATCATTGTGTTGCTTCAGTGTTTTACTTGACACGTCCTTGTACTATGGGAACGTGCTTCAGCCTGTATTTGCTTCTTGGAGGAGGCGGATTGCATTATTCTTCCTTTTCTCATTTCCCTGTCAATTTCGGAATAATGGATTCTCTGTATTCAAAACCTTATTTCCCTTCACTTTTCATTCATGTCTTCACAAGGAAAGCCGTGAGGGAGTGGAGCAGGTTACCCAGAGAGGCTGCGCGATCACCCATCCATGGAGGTGTTCAGTACTGGGCTAAGCAAGTCACAGGTGATCTAGTGTTGGCAATAATCCTGCGTCACCTGGGAGGCTGGATGAAACGACCTTGGAGGTGTCCCACTCTGTTTCTATGATTCCACGGATCATTTGAGGAACAGAAGAACCTTTGAAACGGTTTAATCTGAGGTTTAGGGGTTCATCTTTTAAACAGTCACACACAATAATAAAAAGTGCTTTAAGAGGGAATATCTGTTGTTTGGGGAGTCGGTTGGGTTTATTGCTGTACACTTGGTACAATGTGTATTCAGGTTGCCTGACAGCTCATGGCTCAATTGACTTGTACATATTAGACTGGATCCTTAATTTGCTCTGAGTGGTGGGTGAGCAGGACTTTTTCTGCTGTTATTTGTCATGATAGCCTGTAGATGCTGAGCTCTGCCCAGAGATTTTGTTTCTCTGTTGGTAACACCATTCTGGTGGGCTGCCAGGTACTGTGTAAAAATAAACCTCCCAGCTCAAATGCAGAGGACAAACAGCCTGAGTTGCACATGGAGGTAAGGAGTGAGGAGAACATTACTGCAGTCAGTGCTCAGAAGAACATGGAAACTTGGAAAGGGAGACAAAAACAGCATCCTCGATCGACTGTGGACTTTAACATTACTGCTGTTGAGCCTAAGGTGTTCAGAGATTGAGTTGTCCCAGCAAAGAAGAGAAAAGTCACAAGCAAATCCTTCATGCCAATGTGTATTTCTTCCTAAAAAGGACTTTTTCTTAGGAAAGCAAGAACTTCTTTAAGTCCATGGCCAGGATTCAGCTTGGCTGTGGGCTTCCACAGAAAAGGACCTGCCAGGAGAGCAGGCGGGTGCCTCCAGCTGTGGGGGTGGCCCAGATGCTTCTCCTCACCCTTCCTTGCTGCAGGGTTTTCTCTTGTTCTGACCAGGTTTACCTCACCCCACACACGCAGCAGTGGTTGCAAGAGAAGGGGATTGTGGCAGAACTAAGGGCATGTCTGTTTCTATAGTGGTCTAGTGGAGGGTGTCCCTGCCTGTGGCAGAGGGTTGGAACTGGATGAGCTTTAAGGTCCCTTCCAACACAAACCATTCAATGATTCTATGATTTGATAGAGGCCTTATGATAACCTCTTACCTGAGGTGGAACTGTGTAGACAGGGCCTAAAATACAACATACGTTGGCAGAAAGAGATCGGCGGTGGTCATGACTACTGTGCCTCCTCATAGTGATGTGAATTAAGGTGGTGAAAATCACTTTCTTGCTGTCAGAGTTTCATCATGACATAAGTCTGTTGGTGAGGGTGATCTCACACTCCTTGCTGAAATAAAAGTGCCAGCAAAACGTCACAGCGTGGGCTAGAAAATACCCACTTTCTCTTCCTAGCTAAACCAGTGCTGGCTGGAGGTAACAGCTTCTCTTCCTCAGCTCCCCCATGGGGGTGGCCATGTAGAAAATCACAGAATCACAGAATCCCAGACTGGTTTGGGTTGGAAGGGACCTTACAGCTCCTCCAGCTCCAACCCCTGCCACGGACAGGGACACCTTCCACTAGAGCAGGTTGCTCCAAGCCCCTGTGTCCAACCTGGCCTTGAACACTGCCAGGGATGGGGCAGCCACAGCTTCTCTGGGCACCCCGTGCCAGCGCCTCAGCACCCTCACAGGGAAGAGCTTCTGCCTCAGATCTAACCTGAACTTCCCCTGTTTCAGTTTAAACCCATCACCCCTTTTCCTATCGCTACAGTCCCTGATGAAGGTCCCTCTCCAGCATCCAAAGCCTCGTCCCCTGTTGTCCCCTGCCCCTTGGTTGATGTGCTGAGCAGTGATGCCATGGCTGGGGCAGCAGCACCAGTGGGTGGCCATGCACAGCATCTGGTGGAGGCTCAGCCCGCAGCTGTGTTCAGCCCCTCTGCACTGGTGTCTGGGATGCTCTGGGGCAGTCACCCCATGTCCTCAGTGCCTGTTGGCTGATGGGCTGGCAGAGCTCTCTGCAAGGTTATTTCTTCTTGGTACATAGATTTTGATGTTTTGCTTTTCAGCGTAAATATCAGCTACATCTTTAGCACATGATCTCTACTGCAGCGCCCTTCGAGGGTGTCCTTGCGGACTCCTTGCTGCTGTTCCTGGGGAAAAAAAAGGTCTACTTTTGCTTATGGACTTTGAGCAAAAGCCTGGCTTCTGCAGGCAGAGAGAGCCCCTCCGCTGATGGGGCAGTGCTGGCTGGCTGTAACGGAGGTTATCACTAAAGCAGCCCTCCAGTACCTAGAGAGACCAACAAGAAAGCTGGAGACAGGCTTCTGGTAAGGGCCTGTAGGGACAGGACAAGAGGGAATGGCTCGAACCTGCCAGAGGGGAGACTGAGATGAGCTCTGGGGCAGAAGCTCTTCCCTGTGAGGGTGCTGAGGCGCTGGCACAGGGTGCCCAGAGAAGCTGTGGCTGCCCCATCCCTGGCAGTGTTCAAGGCCAGGTTGGACACAGAGCTTGGAGCAACCTGCTCTAGTGGAAGGTGTCCCTGCCCGGGGCAGGGGTTGGAGCTGGAGGAGCTTTAAGGTCCCTTCAGCACAAACCAGTCTGGGATTCTATGATTCTGTTATTTTGATCAGTGGAAGTAATGAGAAATGCCATGTTACTGGTGCGTGGTGGGAGCTGAAGTGTAGCACTGGGAAGGAAAGCTCACAGCTCAGAGGTGCGGGACCAGGGAGCCAAGTGCTTCTGGAAGTGCATTCTGTGTCTGGAAGTCTGTCAAGCTGCAGACAGTCCATTCTTCTTTCATTGGTACGTTATATGCTGTTAATATTAACCGCAGATGCGAAGTACATCTCTTGACATTTACAAAATGTTAGTACTCTTTGTTCTCATTCAGGTGGCCCTTTACTTCTCCTCGGAATAGTAGGGGACTGCTACAGCAAGTGACAGTGAAAGACATGCAGACAACTGTTCTGTCAGTAATCTCCCGCTGACTGATGGGCTCCTGTTCCCCTGCCACAGGCTCCATTCTAACCCAGGCTCTTCTGCTGGGGTCTCTTGACAATAGCTTGGGGATGTCTGTGCTTATTTAATGAAGAATTAGCAATTAGCTGACTGGACAGATTCGTTCCATAGCAGCAGATCTAGAGGCAGCCTTCCTCCTCTAGCAGTTTGCATTCATTCCTATCCTGGACCCTAGGGAGAAGAGCAGCAGGTAAAAGCCTCTGAAATCATTAAAAATCCATTGAGTTAATCTGATTTGCATTTAAAATACATCCTAATGCCCACTTCAGTTTTCATTCCCCTGGGAAGTGGTGGATTTCCCAACGCTGGACACTGTTAAGGTTCAGCTGGACAGGGTGTTAGGCCATCTACTCTAGGTCGTGTTTTTGCCAAAAGAGGTTGGACCAGATGATCCTTGAGGTCCCTTCAAACCTGGGATTCTATGACTCTACTGTTGCCCAAATAAAAGTATTACTCTTAAGTTGTTTGAAACAACTTCTTTCCCCTCTGCAGTGACTCATTAACAGGTTTATCGAGTTGTGTGCTACTGTGAGTCAGTATCTGTATGCTAAAAAGGGATGGTAGTGATGCCAAGAGTGAGGGTTGAGTTGAGGGTGCTGAGGTGCTGGCACAGGGTGCCCAGAGAAGCTGTGGCTGCCCCATCCCTGGCAGTGTTCAAGGCCAGGTTGGACACAGGGGCTTGGAGCAACCTGCTCTAGTGGAAGGTGTCCCTGCCCGTGGCAGGGGTTGGAGCTGGAGGAGCTTTAAGCTCCCTTCCTACCCAATCCATTCTGGGATACTACGATTCTATGCTGGGCCATGCATGCACTTGAGTTATCCAGCCGTAGGTGTTACGTATCCTCTCTCATAGAGCCTTCAACATTCCTGTATTTAACTTTTGCTGCCATTATTGCAGAGGACATTCTGTGCCTGGCTTTGAGTCTTCCTTTTCCCTGCTCTCACTCTTGTCATTAACCTCCTTACTTAGTTTTTCATAATGCAAATATTTACACATCATTTAACAACATGACCAATGATTTCTTCAACAAAAACGTCCTTGTAGGGCAGGACATCAGCGTGGATGCTCTAATACCAGCGACTGCAAACTCCTAAAGTCAATCAGGCTTTAAAATAGTGGCTGAACATCTCACCGAGATACCCAACCAATCTGTGAACCACCGAGCCTCCAGTAATGAAGTGAAAGATTTGCCATCTGATTATTTACGCTTGCTTTGTTTAATTGTAGTTTGAAAATGAGATCATCACGAAACTGGATCATGAAGTGGAAGGAGGCCGAGGAGATGAGCAGTACAAAGTGTTATTTGACAAAATGTAAGTGTGGAGCAGCGGCGAGATTTATGTCACAGTAAAGGCAGGAGCGAGAGAGCAATTAGTCTACAATGAACTTTGTAGCCCAGAAAGAATTAGAACCTGTTAATGATGCACAGTTTTTAAGACTGCTCCTGAGTCAAAGGGGTTTTTTCTACATGTGGTTAACAAGGCGAATGGAATTGGTTTTTCAGCCTCTTGGAGCACTGCAGAAAACACAAATACCTTGCTAAGAGTGGGGAAACCTTTGTGAAACTTGTGGTGCGCTTAATGGAGAGGTTGTTGGACTACAGGACCATAATGCATGATGAGAACAAGGAGAATCGCATGAGCTGTACTGTCAACGTGCTGGTAAGCAAAGAGAAATGACTGTTGCATCCTTCATTTTACACCTTTAACACAAGACTTGCGTTAAACAAGAGTATGTGTTGGGAGTCTCGTGGAAGTTTGAAGTACTTTCAGGTTTCTTTCCTTTTTTAATGGGGGTGAATGTAGGTAAAGATGGATTATTACTTCTTTAATTGATTCTAAGGGTAGATTTAAGAAGTGTTTCAGGGTCTGACCTTGAGAGCTGTTCATTGACATTTACAGTTGATGTATGAACAGCTTCATGCAGGAAACCATTTTGACATACAGAACGTTGGAGTAATACGCAGTTTACTACCGAAATCTTCATGCATTTTCAATTCCATTTGGATTATGCTTATTGCTCAGCTTTCATAGTCAAGTTTTTTGAGGACATTTGAGTGTCACTATTTCATTCACAGCAGAAAAAGCTGGGGTTGTTTTCCTTACTGATGTGAAATTTCCTCCTCTAAGCTCTAGAAGTTCTGGAGTATCTACTCTATACTACAAACCTTTGTCCATTTAGGCTAGAGTTGGAAGCAGTGGAGTTGTCCCCATAGCACTCACATCATGCTCCTCAGTGGATGCATTAGAGTATAAGATTTTACTAACACAAAATCAGTACATACGGGAAAATAGGAAAATACATTTTAGAGACCCCTAAATATAGTAGTAGCTGGATTTGATTTTTCCAGTAGGACTCAGTATCAAATTGTTAGGCACTAAGTATTCAGAGCTTTCATCTCTGTATCATTACTAAAGCTTTTATGTAGCTTAAATATGTGGGACACAGACAGTGTTTATGGTTTATGTGCTATGGCTGATGGATTTTGTTCAGGCTGGTCTGGAAAGAGCAGAGTAAACAGTTTGTAGCTTTAGTACTTGCGTGTAATGCAGATGTCCTCAGCTTGTGTAGTGCAACCGTTGTGCTGCACTGTTGTGTAAGCTGTAAGTTAAATGGTGCCCATTAGGATGGGAGAGAAGATAGAGACATCAAATCAGATATTGGGAGTTTAGTTTGTTTTTCTTCTCTGTCCACAAAAGAATATTTAGGAAATGGGAAAAGAGGAGGGACCTGGAGAGTTGTCACCAGTTGTTGATCTAGTAAGTGCCATTAATTTACCTGCAGAGAAGTCATAGCATCCTCCCAAGCAGAATTGGAGTTAGAAAAGCTGCCAGTTCCAGCAAGGAAATAAAAAATCACATGCACCATATGCTTTAAAACATGACAACAATTTATAAACCTGGACAATTTCCTTGGGAAGGTGGATTTATTTCTCCTTCCCTTCATCATAATACTCCTCCAAGTAATCCTCACCACCCCAAGCGCAGGGGGACCGATGGCACACTTGGGGGTTGGTTTTGTTTGCTCTGAGTGTCTGTAACAGCATCTCCTGATGCTGATTTTTGTCATCTGAATTTTTCAAGTGTTTGTAGATGATAAATACTGTGGGTGACTTACTGCTGCCAAGTTAAATCACCATGAGACAGCCACACATTGAAGTCTGCAGGAAATGCAGGAAAGCATCTCAGGGCAGAACTTCCCTTCGCTTTCAGTAGGCGTGATTTAAAACTGGAGCTTGATTTTAAAGTCCCATTTGGCCTCCAGGGCCAACTGAGCCTTTTCATCATTCTCCAGGCACCTGAAGTGAAATTTATGCCTTTGCGAAAATGCAACCCAAGTCTGATGCTCGGCACAATTCCCACCTGAGGTCTCACAGAGTTATTAATTGGGAAAGCAGAGGCTTTCACGGGATTAAGTTTGCCTGTATTGACTAGTTCAGAGGTTTTAATATGCATTTAAGCCAGTGCTAATGTTAAAAAGTAAAATACAAGCTGTCTCATTCCCTCAGCTGCTTATTCTGACTGCTGACAATCCTGGTAAAAGCAAACATGAGCAGATCATAGAATCATGGAATGGTTTGGGTTTGAAGGTCATCCAGTTCCAACTCCCTGCCACAAGCAGGGTCATCTTCCACTAGAGCAGGTTGCTCCAAGCCCCTGTGTCCAACCTGGCCTTGAACAATGGGGAAGATCTAAGGAAGGATCTTGCTGAAAGCTCAGGCTCTTCCCCTTTGGTTACTTCTCATCCCCACCAGTTCCTCGCCCCATTGGCTGCAGAGCCACACGCATGTGGGCCAGCACAGCATAAAGGGGATCTGGGAACCTGTCCCCAGAGATGGGGCAGGGGCAGAGACTGCTTCTGGAGGAGAGGGAACTGTGGGAAGTGTAACATCAGCCTGCTGCCAGAGACTCTTCCCATTTTGGTTGATTTCGTGTCACTACTTGAGCTGCATCAGAAGGGCAGAGCAGCTGGCAGCAATATTGGGATAAAATTCAATAACATTATTGATCCACCTAGCTCAGAAGTCTCCTCTCCTTTAAAAAAGCAATCAAAACACAAGATAAACCAGCAGAAATTGTTCATGTGGTTTGGTTTGTCTTTGGAGTTGAAGTCAAAATCAGGGAGCGGTTATGTCAACTAAAATGGTGTGTCCAAGGAATAATAAATACATCCTTTCCAACTGTGGAACATAGATTCTATCATTTTTCAGTACTTTTTGAAGGGAGCAGTTTTGTATTGAGGTTTTGCATCTATTAGAAGGGCTTTGGACAAGGGCCTGTAGGGACAGGACAAGGGGAATGGCTTTAACCTGCCAGAGGGGAGAGTGAGATGAGCTCTGAGGCAGAAGCTCTTCCCTGGGAGGGTGCTGAGGCGCTGGCACAGGGTGCCCAGAGAAGCTGTGGCTGCCCCATCCCTGGCAGTGTTCAAGGGCAGGTTGGACACAGGGGCTTGGAGCAACCTGCTCTAGTGGAAGGTGTCCCTGCCCGGGGCAGGGGTTGGAACTGGATGAGGTCCTTTCCAACTCAAGCCATTCCATGGTTCTGTGATTAATGGCTACTCAGACTGGTTTCAATTCACATTGGAATGAACTTTAATTTGGCAAAGAATTCAGAAGTGAACTTGAAGTCAGTGAAGAAATTTCTTTGTATTTTGTTTTCTTAGATATATTTTAACTTTTGAAGGCAAACTTTAAACTAGATTCAGAAATGCCTTTAATATCTCTCCCAATTTACCATATCTTGCATTTCCAATATTTGTCGTGTTAACTAGTTTATCTCAAGACCGGAGGCATTCAGACATTTCTGAAGAAAGTGATGATAGTAAGTGACATATGAAACCAGATAAATAACACTAATCCAACTTTTTATTTCCAAAGAAACTATTAGAATTCAAGGGCAGATGATGTATTGCTCAAGTAAGGTTTGGAGTTTTAAATCCATAGAACAACTGTTGCTTAAAAATGATGGGTTTATATATTGCAAAGTTTCAAGTGCAAATGGTTGATGATGTGTGACTTGCAGATGCCAGAAGCACATTTCTAGCAGTAAAATTCTTCCAAATTCTTAACCTTTGCAATGAGACATAAGCCCTAATATGGTACATCATGAAACATCACAGCATTCGGCTTTATGCGTTAAATAACTTGTGTTCTAGCACTGGAGGCAAATTTCATTTTGCAGTTTTGAGGTCGATGTTCCACCGTTATGAATTTTTAATTCAGAGCATGTTCTGTGTACATCCCAGGCTGTGAAATCAAAGGCTTTGTAACAAAATGATGTTGTTTTTCAGAACTTCTACAAGGAGATCGAGAGAGAAGAAATGTACATCAGGTTTGTAATCACGACCGGTGACAAACTCTGCTTGCCTTTCTGTAGTGTAACGGGAGGAAACTAAGCTCATGTTAAGCAGTCGGCTGGGGGAAAAGAGGTTAAAAACCATACCTTGAACCTCAGAACTTACCTGAAAAACAGTGAGCATGAGAAATTAGAGTCATGACATATATTTTGTCCCCCTTCTCCTTCAGTTATATTATGATGAACACTGAGGTCCTCAGGAGTATTTTCACATGAAGCAACTAAGTAAGCCCAAAGTAAGCTGAGTAGGAAAATAAGTTTTCCTCCTGGTGAGGTCCAAAATACATGTCTTGGGGTGAAAAGGGCTATTAGATAATAGTATGACTGATGCCTATTTGAAATGTAAAGCTTTTAGGAGCCTTTCAAAATCTGTCTTCCCACAAAGTAAAAATGGTAATAGATTTTTGTGCTTCTTGTAAACCTCAGGGTTCCTGGTCCCCTATTTACTTTGGCTTAAAATTGGCTGGACCGTTGTGCTAAAATGATGAAGCTTGTGTTTTTAGCGCCCTTTTAGGTATCTAAATATTATTCATGAGTTCATTCTCAGGTGCTTGTTACCTTGTTGGAAGAATTTTCACTTGTGAGTTTGTTTCCTGTTGCCTGAATTGTTTTAGTACTTTATTAGTCTGCAAAAAGAAGGTAAAATCTAGCAAAAGGCAGGATTTGCAACTGTGGACAAACACGTAGATATGGAGCTGGTGGGCTGCCCTGTTCAGCATCTCTGTAAAGACAAATTACCTCTCACTGGCAACCCCCCACCCAAATTGTCTCCTATTTCTATTAACAGACTTACAATGTATCATAATAAATATCCAAGTTATGTATTTTCATGGGCTTTTCAAAGCAGTTTTAATAGTTTCTGAACTTTCACTAATAAAACCCAAAAACCAAATGAAGAGAATCCCCTTCCAGAGATGTGATGTTATTGAAGGGAAGAAGAAAGGCTTATATCTGTCTCCCTGGCTGAACAATTGGAATTATAGCTCCAGCAAAAACCTGTATTTGATACATTAATCATCACGAGTCATTTATATGCGTTGGAAAAAGACACAGTGGAAATGCAGGTGGTCCTAAAGCTTGTCTGCGCACAGAAATAGGAGCCTTAACCAATTCCACATGCATTTAGTTGTTTGGAAATAGAGTTGAACCATTGTAATCTCCAAACTAAGTTATTTAGTAACATTTAAGAACCAAGGTTTTTTTAAGAACTATTGTTTTTATTACTTGCAGGTATTTGTACAAGCTGTGTGACCTGCACAAAGAGTGTGATAACTACACAGAAGCTGCCTACACGCTACTTCTGCATGCAAAGCTTCTCAAGGTAAACACCAAAATCCATCACAAGCTTTGAAAGTCGTGTCAGCAGTAACCCATAGTGGTATTATTTGTCACCCTTAGAACATCTGCGCTTTAAACTGATTAACAACTGTGTGCTGTGTCAGAGCATGTTTTACTCATCTGCATAGAATCCTAGAATGGTTTGGGTTGGAAAGGACCTTAAAGCTCACCCAGCTCCAACCCCTGCCCCGGGCAGGGACACCTTCCACTAGAGCAGGTTGCTCCAAGCCCCTGTGTCCATCCTGGCCTTGAACACTGCCAGGGATGGGGCAGCCACAGCTTCTCTGGGCACCCTATGCCAGCGCCTCAGCACCCTCACAGGGAAGGATATAGGCACTTCTTTGGTAATGAACTTTTCTGTGCTAAGACACGTGTCAAAGAGGTGAAGATGTGAGGAGATGGCTCTGACACCTTCAGTCACACGGACCGGTGCAGTTGGTTGCCTGTGGGTACAAGTTCGAGTGAGTAACTCGCTGAGTCCATGGCGATCAAGATCTCACTTCTTCCCAGAAGGGACATAAAACAGAACTGCCAAATTGTGCAGTGCTTGCTCATCACACTTCACATGAATGAACCTTTTAGACAAGATAAAGCGTTCATTCCCTGCCACAGGTGCTGCGTTGCCTGCAAAAATGATGGAATGAACCATGCCTCAAAATGTCAAACTTTTACCTGTTACGACTTGATCTTGTTAGTCAATATGCTTTATGAGACACTAAATTACAGTTTAGCCAGTTTTGTTTTTCTTAAAGAATGTTTTCTGAGACCAGATGAGTATGTTAATATACTCCTTTAATTTACTGAAAAGAGATATCCAGTTTTCTTCTCTTACAGTAGAAATCTATAGAAGATGACAAATGTAAGGATGATATTTGTCAGAGGTTTCATCTTTAAGTATATGTTAGTTCAGAAATATAATTATTTTATAGTTTGGAATTATTTTATTCTAAAAGTGTATCAATCTCTCTCATACACTATCCTATTACTACCAGTAGTTAGTGGATGGAGGAGTTGAGTATTGCTTGAGCAGCAATACTGATGTGTGTGTAACTTTAAGCACTTGAGTTTTCTGTCAAACCTTGAGGACAGGATTTTCAATGACATTCCTCATTGGCATATGTTTCATTACACCAGTTTTAATGGGATCACATTTAGGTCAGGACTGAGAGTTTTCCATAATTTCACCTTTAAATGTGCAAGAAGGCTGGCTCTGTGGAGAGGGAGCCACCATCTCTCTCTCCAGATTACTGCAAGCTGTTCAAGTGCACTCAAAAAACAGACTCGAGTTGTATTTTCATCCCATTTAGTCAAAATTAAGATGTTCAAAACTAAACAGAAAATAGTAGCTCTTAGTATGTTGAAAAAGATGCAATCACATTGCAGACTCCAGGAAGTTTGTGTTGCTCAGAAGCACGGCTTGGTGGTACAAAGTTGTCCAAGTTGTCTCTTTAGCCAAACGCAAACATTTTGGCCAAATGAAGAAGTACTTGAGCAAGATTTATTAAGATACAGGAGGTAAAACTGGATGATGTTAGTTTTCATGCTTATTTTCATTCACATGGTCAGCTGAACCTGTAATACCCCTTGTCCTTGAGCAGTCTTACCAAATTGTTGGTATGTCAACATATGAGACTTAAATCAGAGCAGGATGTGACCTTGCCTAATTTCAGTTCAGTTGGAAAACATTCTCATTTTTGGCAGTAAAACTGAAAATGGAAAACCCTTCTTTTGCTGGCTTTCCTATAGTTATCTTACTAAAGGAAAGCTATGGATTTTCCACACAGATACACTATGCGAAGAGTATTCAGCCTGCAGCACAACCTGATTTGCAAGAGACTCAGATCCTGAGATCTGAGACAGGGCCTTGAGCAACCTGTCTAGTGGAAAGTGTCCCTGCCCTTGGCAGGAGGTTTCCTGCCAACGTCCTTTCCCACCCAAACCATTCTCTGATTCTATGATGCAACAGTAATTCTGTGAATAAATCTGTGAATTGCTGATCTCTGCATGATCTTTTCTTCTGTTCCTGGCGTGACAGCGTTTTATTTGAGCAGGCAGACCTCCTCCTTTAGTAACTTTGATTTTCAGAGAAGAAAGTGAACAGTTCTTTTGTTAATTTATGTTTTTGAACTCAGTTTCTGAAGGCAGCAAGTCCTGTTGGAGCACCTGTCCCTCTTTTTCAATCTAGGAGAAGTGTCATTTGATTTAATGGAGGTTTGTGATATGATTTGATTTGATAGAGGTTGGTGAGTCTAAAAGGTACTAATTTCCTGCTAGAATCATGGAAATAGTTATGGAAGGGTCGGCTTTAGTATTAGTGTCCTGTCTGGGGAAAACTCCAGTATTGTTTCACCCCCAGGGATATATTAATGGGAGGAGAGAAGGGAGATGAAGAAGAGGTGATAGGAATGCTGGAGTGCTGAGGTTTCCATTGAATCCATCCCTTACTGGACACCAGAATATGCATGTGCAAGGAAGAAGGATGTAGGGAATTGCTTGGTCCTATCAGGTCCACAAGGAAATTAATTTCTGTGCCTTGCTCCTCATCTATTAGGCATTTGCTGGAAGAGGAAGAGCTGCTAAGACAAGTTGTATAAAGTTAGTTGTGCTTTTCTGTGCCTCCAAACGTTCCCTATGATTTTTAGCCATTTATTTTCTGTTCTGCAGTGCTTTTCCATTCATATGGATGTATCTTTGCTTTGGGGCCTCTCTCAACATAAACCTGAAAATGTTCATTGTGCTTCCACCAGGTTGTACCCATCAGCAGGCCAAGGTTGGTCTCCTCAAACTCACTGAGGAGAGGAAACTACCTCATGAAGCTTCCCTCCAGCTGATACATGCAATTAACCTCCGATTAGAGCATTCAAATACATGGCCTTTGTGCCCAAGGAATCAAAGTACACAACTGCAGAAAAAATCTTTGTTAGAGCATTAACTGTGGTACCAGTACTTTAACCAAAAAGTGTTTGTTTTATTTAGCCTCATTTTACTGACATATTTCATAACTTTTGATTTGCCTTCCCTTTTCCCCTTTCTTGTATGATTTAGTGGTCAGAAGAAGCATGTGCAGCACATCTTACCCAGCGGGATGGATACCAAGCTGCTACTCAAGGACAGTTGAAAGATCAACTCTATCAAGAAATTATCCATTACTTTGACAAGGGCAAGGTAAAAAGGGAAGAAAAATGCCTAAATACCTTTCATTGCTTTTCTCTTTAAGTTGAATAGTAAACATAGTTTGCATCCAGTGACCTTCAGGGAGCTTTAAACTTGTTGTAAGCTATTTGGAGTGCTTTATGTAAACGGTCCACCAGCTAGCACTTAAAGTAATGATACTAAAAAAAAGAGGAAAGAGAAATCAATGGTACATTTATAACTGCTGTGTTAAGGGGAAATAGATGTGCATATGATGCCACGGAGAAAATAAGAAAGTGATGCATGTAGTTTGGGGGACTTAGGTTTTCTGGCAATTACAACAGCTAAAGCAATCCTTCAGCTACTCTTGTTTTTCCTGTTGTACACAAAATGATTCCCTCAGAGGATGGATGTCTGTGGTTCATGTTATAAGAAGGTGGAAATATTCTCAGATGAATTGCAATTGCATCTTTTATTGCACAATGAGTCTGCATTGGGCATTGCATGGTGGGAAGGGGAGTGTGCTGGTGTTACTTGTCACCAGAGGTGAAGAGTTTAACGTGGTAGACAGGGACGTATCAGCGTTTGAGTATTTTGTGCACAAAAGTATTAAAATCAGAAGCAGAAATCTCTTTGTCAGAGTATTTCAGAGACACAAACTTGGGTTTTCTAAAGCAATCTTTGTTGCATAAATGTCTTGCAAATAGAAATGTCATTTTCGGGCAGAACTCGAATATTTTCCATCCAGCTCGTGTTTTCCAAGTCAGTTTTAAGCAGAGTCAGATTAGTATTTTGATAGAAACACTGCCTAAAAGGTCAACTTTTACACCTTATCTCAATGGAATATTTAGAAGTTGTTAATAAAAGATGCCAAATAAATGCAGGGGCTCGTGTAGGTGCCTTGGTGCTTGTGCAGTGGCTACCATTGGATTCCACTTCACGCTCCTGCTGCCCGGCAAGCTTTTACTAACCCTTTAACAGCAGGAAAGGAGAACCTCGATAGAGGTCAGAGCTGATTTGAAAGCACATTTTAACATCGCATTCCTCTCTGGAAGGGAGAAGCCAGAAGTCACATGGTTTTATTTTGTTGGTTTACGTCTTTATGGCTTCCCAGTTAGTCTTTTATGATGCTCGTATACAGGTGGTGGGAATTGTTCTTCTGAGCACTGGGGCCAATGCGTTTTAGCTGTAAATTAGAAGCTGCAGCATCCTTTTGAGCTGTACTGGAACAACCTGGCTTAAAGCTGTAGCCACCCTGTTTCTGCTGATAGAGCTAATGAGCTGTTTATATAAACAGCAGGCAAAATACCTGCTGCTTACTTTCCAGCCTGTGCCACATTACCCAGCACGGCCTCCACGCCTGAGAGACCCGCGTTAGGCTGAATAAGCAGTCTTCAGTCTTTCAGGTTTTACAGCTAGAAATAAGGCTGTGCCTGCTTTCAAAGGAAATAGCTCTGGAAATGCTGTGTTTTCCCTTATAGGTAGATTATACAACTGAATATTCATGATTCTACAAACTTATGGTGAACAATGATATTGAAGGGACCACTATGATTACTAATTCCTATTCCTTTCATAAGTCATATCATTCCTGCATGATTCTGTGTGTGTGTGTGAGGAGATGATTCATTTTCAAAGCACTATTTCCTAGTTACAGATCTTTCTCCTCTCATTTTCTGGCCACTCCAAGTGGGTGATAACTTTTTGCATTGTTCAATGAAAAGGAAAAACAATATCAATATTCACTGAGAATATGAGCATCTAACATCAATTTTCAGATGTTGGGAAGCTCAAAGTTGAGGTTTCCACAGTAGAATTAAGCTAATCCTCTCATTTGGGATGTTCTGACATTAGGTTAAACCAACTTCTTATGTTTACCTATGTAGTTCGCAAATGCAATCCAACAGCTACTATAACTATGCCATTCCATGATGAGAAGCACATCTGAAATAGTATTTTCTGTGTGTTTTCAGAAGACTGTATCAATACACCAACCAATTTGTCTTTTTTTTTACTATAATCTCCCTTCTGTGTCTCTGGCTGCCAAATTGCTCTGAGTTGATCCCATCACTTTAATTTCTCTTCCCATCAAGTTAACAAGAGATGTCAACGAAGGTCGCTTTATCCTGGGCAGCTGTAGAGCTACTTCCCAGCTTTTACAGCAGCTCAGGAAGTTTGTTTTAAAGTTGTTATGACTGTGCCTCTTCCACTCCAGCCTGCCTGATGGGAAGCTGTGGACATGTGGAGGGGAAGTATATATGGTTAGAAGCACTGAGTAGAAGAAGTGGAGGAGAGGGATTTCCTTTCTCTTGCTGAAGTAAATGCATCTCTGTTACGGAGACAGGCTGAGAGAGCAGCCCATGGGTCACATTACAGCAAGCCCTGTGCAGCTGCAACATCCTGGAGCAACCTGCTCTAGTGGAAGGTGTCCCTGCCCATGGCAGGGGTTGGAACTGCAGGAGCTTTAATGTCCCTTCAACCCAAACCATTCCAGGATTCTATGATGATTCCAGTTCCTCAGGGAGAACACATGGTGCACTCTCAACTAAAGACCAACCATGAGGCTTAATCCCTAATTAGTAGGATTCATAGCAGGATGAATTTAGAGGAGGGTATAACCCTCCATACACTGACTGAAATGGAGTGGACCAGAAGTGCTTGATAACTTTGTAATTAAATAATACCGAGTGTGGGCTTGCACTGAAAGCAGGAGTGGGGGCATCTCATTTTGGCTGAGAACAAATTACTGTCCTTCACCATGAATATACCTGTTATTTGCAGCTTCAGATCCATGTAAGATTCCTCATTTTGATTGCAATTTTTTGATATATTAGTCTTAGGAAGCTTGTTCTTTTACTTATGTTCGACTTTTGGTCCTTCAGCCAGTCTTCTGCAGAGCTGAAGTACACCTTTCACCTTTAGTAAATTGGCAGAACCAACTTCTGCATTTTGTTGTTCTGCTTTATGGAGTTGGTTCCTTATTAGTAATACTTTTCAATACTCTTGTTTCCAAAATGAAATATTCCAAGTTTCCTTGTATACTCATAGTTTTCTCTCATAGATTATCATTCTTCACTGCGCTGCACTTTCCAGTCTCATCTCCATCTCTTGTCTTTTACCCTTACAAGCCTTATCCTCACGCTCATCACACAGTCTAACCCGTCCTTTGAACTGCTCTGAAGTGTTTGCTCTTCCTCTGTTCTGCTGAGGCTTTAAACGAAGCCCTTAATACAGAGATTTTCCTGAAAATTGGTAGGTTGGGGTATCTCAGGACAAGAAGGAGAAATAGTGGCAGTAATAAAGTGATGAAGGATGGGAGTGAAAATTTGACGTTGGTCAATGCTAATGAAATGCTAAAGCCAAGAAATACTCAGTGTCATTGACAGAGATAGGATATTAGTTTTAAAAGGGGGTTGTGTGATCTGTAGAGAAGCAGCAGCATTCTTATCCCTACACAATACAATGTAGAAACAGCAACGTTGTTCGTGCTTGCCAGTGGATGCTGCAGTCTGTAATCAGTCCATGTCTTCCACTGCTCCTTCATAAACTGAAAGCGGGGAGAAAAAAGTAGATAAATGCACAGTTATCATTTATTTCTGCTCCTCCTTCCTCCTCCCCCCCTCAAAAAAAGAAGCTTTTACTGCTTTACTGAGCCACAAACACAAAATATTTGAAACTACACAGTAAATGCCATGCTTTTGGCTTAAAATGTCTTTTTTCCGGCTCATGGGATGGCATCAAATGGCTTTTTCTTTCATCTAACTAGAGAGTGGTGAAATTCACCTGTCTGCCAAAACTCAGTGCGAGGCGTGTGGCCAGCTCATATCCCACATCAGATTGTGAGCCTGTCCTGAGAGCTGTGAAGGACAGAGATTCCTCGGAGAGGAAAGATATGCTGTTTGACCATGCTCCAAGTGAGGATAGCAAGATGGTTTAAAGGGTTTTCCAACCGTGGCTGTATCTCACACATCTTCAATGCAATTCTACCAAGAGAGAAATACTGTGTTTAACATCTGATTTCAAATATTAAGCTTACATGATGGTTAATTAATGCTATCTGAAATTTAAACAGCTTGGAATGTCCCTCAGACATCAGGATATTGCACAGTAATATTCTTATCCCAGACTATTTCATTTTTACTGACCATTAACTCGGCAGGAGCTAAGAAATAACCTAAGATCCTACTCTGCTGCTATTAAGGAACCTCAAAACCTAAACCAGATGCTGCATCTCTTTCTGGGCAACAAGCACTCCAGCTTCAAAACTGAATTAAATTGCTAGGTTTTCCCTAAAAAGACCTCCTTCTGCATGCTCAAAAGTCTTTCCCATAACAATTCATGTGTCTACACAACTGAATTCAAGCTACACACGTTTTTCTTATGCCTTCAGTACAAAAGAAGCATTTTCCTTCCCCTGTTGCCAACCTCTCTCTCTGGTACACTCTCCAGATAAATTGTTTCTTGCATTAATGAGTTGTACATCGTACAAATCCTGTGTAGTAGCTCCCCGTACAACTCATTCCTCCAGAAGACCTGCCATGTCCTGGGCAAAGCTGGGAAACCTTCCAAGGCAGCAAATCTGCGAGGCAGCAGATTGGGAGTTATTGACCTTCAAGAATATAGATTTCATTTATCAGGATCCTTTGCCACAGCCGTGCTGTCCTCACCTGAGGAAATTGGCTCCGTAGTAAACAGAGATTTCTCAGAGGGTTGTGCAGTGGATTTTAAACACACGGACCCCGCTGCTCGTATGATGTTGGGAAAATGACCAGCGTTGGCTGAGTTTTAGGGGATGTTGCAGGCAGTGTGGTCCAGCTGCACAAACACCAGGGTGGATAAGGGACCAATGGAGCTCTGGAGTTCAGGGCATGTGATGTTTTACAACTTGAGCTTTATAATTTCTCATTGCTCCTTTAGAGGATTGAACCGGACGGTTGGATTTCAAAATAGAGGTATTAGAGCAGAGTGGGGGTTTTAAGAGGCTGTAGCAGTAAAAAGTGGGTGTTTTTCTGTAAGACCCATCCCTTGCCTGGAAAGGGACCAGGTTAGAGACTGGCAAAAATTAGGAGAATCTATTCATGTTCGTCTCGTAGAGGGACTATTCATCAGGAACTGTAGTAGGACAAGGGGTAATGGGTTCAAACTGAAACAGGGAGATATAGGTTAGATATGAGGCAGAAGCTCTTCCCTGTGAGGGTGCTGAGGCGCTGGCACAGGGTGCCCAGAGAAGCTGTGGCTGCCCCATCCCTGGCAGTGCTCAAGGCCAGGTTGGACACAGGGGCTTGGAGCAACCTGCTCTAGTGGAAGGTGTCCCTGCCCGTGGCAGGGGTTGGAGCTGGATGAGCTCTAAGGTCCTTTCCAACACAAACCATTCTGGGATTCTATGATCGCCACTTAAACATAGGGGAATTGGTACCAGGAAATATGCTAGGGTAGTGTCATTACTGCATGTATATTGTACATGAACTAAATCTATATCATATTTAATTTGAGGCTTCATTTTTTAGTCTCTGAAACATTTATAAAATCCATATTTTATTCATGTTATTAATATTAATATTCAGTAACATCTAAAGGGTTTGTTCAGGATGGGGAAGTGCAGGAGAGACACAGCCTCTGCTCTGGTGTATTTACAGTCTTGACTGAAAGGGTGGGAAGGGAAAAAAAAGTCAAAACCTAGTTTTACTTCTGCTAAAGTCATCATTTAATTGGTGGCAATGCTCTATTGGCCTTAGCGTGTACACAACACAGGTCTAGTTTTAGAATCATAGAATCCCAGACTGGTTTGGGTAGGAAAGGGCCTTAATGCTCATCCATTTCCAACCCCTGCCACGGGCAGGGACACCTTCCACTAGAGCAGGTTGCTCCAGGATGTTGCAGCAGCACAGGGCTGCAAAGCCACAGTGACACATCAGAGCTCCTCTCCTTCCCTCCTCTCTCCCACTGCTAATCCAGAATCCCTTACCTCGTGATGATCAGGTGCAGTTAGCTAGTGGTCAATGTCTTTGAGTTGCCAGACATGCTTTGGAAACACATCGCAACATCCGTGCTTATCCAGGATTCAGTGCAAGAACTGGATGAGTGTGTTTAACACTGTCAGTACAAGTCTACAGATATTTAAGACTTCCATTCATTTCCAGTCTCATGCAGCTCCAAAGCTGTTGGCCTGAGATCATCTATAAATATTTTCACATGGGAAAAGAGAGTCGAGTTGCCTTGGTTTTGGAAAGGGACTGGTTAAATGTGGAGCACACAAGCAAGAGAACCAGGACAGGGAAAATTATGGTAATGCCATTTTCTTTGAAATGAAAATGTGCAGAAGTTATGGATGGCTGAAGTTAAACAGAAAATGGCAGTCAAAATGAAGAAAGGTTAAATGATTTTGAAAGGTTTCGCTTGCTGACTTACCAAACAGCTCAATATTAGTTTAGGTTTTATAAATTGGTAGAATATTACTCCTCTGAGTCAAAATTAACTCAGCCTTCTATGTGAAAATGTACTCCATTCTCTGCAAATGTGCCTTTGCTATTAAACTGCTGTTAATTTTTGTTTAGAAATAAGAATATACTCTGTACCATCACTCTAGATTAGATACATAATACAGATAAAAACATTCAGGCCCTTTGCAAAACTTACATTGCAGAGTGTACAATCTGCTTCGTGCTTTCCTGCAGACACGATCTCTCATTAGGGTGGCTGTAATTAGTTGTTGTGATGTGTTTTTCATCTTCGAGGCACTTTACAAACATGAGGTAACTCCTGCTCATTGCAGTCCTCCTCCCTAGATAAATAATATTATGTACCTTGTTGTAGTAAAACCAAGAGAAGGGGTCAAACATCACATGGAGCCACAAGGAAAGGTTAATGTAGGTACCAAGCTCTGCCTTTCTGCCTTAAATTAGGTCATTGCTTAGTCTGTTTGCCCAAGCATCTGCCCATTGTTTTCTTTAGGACTTAAAAGCTCCCTTTCCCTTGCTCATCACCACAGTGTAGTTTCTGCCCCATATTTTCCGCTTACGTTGCTCCCTTGCTCCAAGGGCATAAATCTCTCTCCTTTCTCCCTGCAATCTCCTGTAACTATTCTTCCTTTTGCAGCTCCTCATCTCCTCTATGATCAGCAGCTCCCTGGCTCTTCAGGCTGCTGCTTTCTATCCTTTCCCTCTCAGTCTGCCAGGACATTCTTTCATTCCATCCTTTGGTTTGAGGGACGGGCACCATACACTTGAAAATTGGGTCTTCATTTCCAGGGAGGAGCAGGGATGGAGAGCAAACCAGTGGGACATGAGCCACGTCTTGGTTTTGTGGCTTTGACATGAAGACTTGCTGAGGATTCAGCCTGGCTGGGCTCCAAATTGCTAATTCCTAAGGAAAAAAGAAAGATATTCCAGGTCCCAGCCTTGTATTTGTGCCACTAAATCACAGGTAGCTGTGCCCTGCCTGACTCCTCAGCCAGTGCTGGCAGCAGTCTCGGTTATACTGAGAGTCATATGAACCCTTAATGTTTTACTTCTATTCTTAAATCAGCACCTAGAACTAGGAGTTTTCCTAAAAGTCTTATTTTTATCCATGTTTTCCTGATATACTAAGAAATGTGATTTCAGCTTGTAGATCAAAAGACAAAATTCACCCAGCATTGATTTTGGGCTTTGGGGTTTGGGATTTTATTTGTGTGGTTTGAGGGGCCTTTTGGCTTTCGGGGGTCTTGGGGATAAAATACCTCTTTATTTTCATAGTGCTTTAAAGCAGATGGGATTGGGGGGTCCATATGGGTTGGATGCTGGGATCAATTGTGTATGTGAAGGTTTCTCCATGGACGCCAGTTCCTCTTCTCTCTCCCAAGCATCCAACTCCCATCGCCTTTGGACTCTTCATTCCCAAAGGTGGATGTCTCCAGAGAGGGATGGGGAATGGTGTGTTCATCCCTTTTCCTCAGCCCTCCTTCACCAGACTGCTCTTTGTAGCTACAACCATCTTGGTATTTCACCAATGCAAGGAGCATGTACTGAGAGGAGAGTTAGGTGGTGTGGACAGGAGATTTAGATTTAAGATGAAGGGTGATACAAACCACATGGATTTATAACTCATTCCAAATCTCATTCTTTTAGTAAAGCAAGGTCAGCAATGCCAACTAAATTTCAGCAGTAGAGGCAGAAGACCAAGTTTGATGTTAGATAGCCTGGTGTGCTAATTGAAGCATCTCTTTGGGTTTGAGCAGTTCTTGAGAGAAGGAACAAATGACAAATACATATTTAAAACATTCTTGCTGCTCCTTATTAAGATTTTTGGCTTCTGAAGAGCTGAAGGATATTGTTAAATTTCTTTGGGTCAGTTGAGATGGCTGCTGACTTTCATGGTTGAAGAACAAGAGGGGAAAAAAAACCAACGGAAATACAATGAGTATTTGTGCAAAGCAGTATCTGCAAATTGCCTGTCCTGTGTAACATAGATTATAGATATTAGTGTTGGTTAGGAACTATAATCAGTCAACACCATTTATCCAAAGTCCCAGGTTCTGGGTTTCTTTGGGTGCAGGCTGTGTTTATACATTATTGGACATGACGTTGAGGGAATCATTTTATTTCTGAAGCAATTTGATCATTTTACTTGATTGGCATCAAGTCAGTTTGCATCCTCTGCCAGAGAAGGAGCAGATCATCTCGAGTACCATCACACGTCATGTACAAGACAACCAAATGATCAGGCCTACTCAGCATGAGTTTGTGAAAGGCAGGTCCTGCTTCAAGAGTGATGATGAATGGAGTAAATCTAGTTAGTGGCTGGCCACAAGTGGTGAATGTGAGCCAGCTTGTGCCCAGGCAGCCAAGGAGGACAACAGCATCCTGGCCTGTATCAGCAATAGCATGGCCAGCAGGACCAGAGCACTGATTGTCCTCCTGTATTGGGCACTGGTGAGGCTGCATCTCGAATCCTGTGTTCAGTTCTGGGCCCCTCACTGCAAGAGGGACATTGAGGTGCCGAGAAGGGCACCAGAGCTGGTGCAGGGCCTGGAGCACAAGTGTTACGAGGAGTGCCTGAAGGACCTGGGGGGGTTTAGTCTGGAGAAGAGAAGGCTGAGGAGAGAGACCTTATTACTCCCTACAGCTACTTGAAAAGAGGTTGTAGCAAGGTGGGGTTCAGTCTTTTCTCTCAAATAACAAGCAATAGGACAAGAGGAAACGGGCTCAAGCTGCCCCAGGGCAGGTTTAAATGGAGCTGAGGAACAATTCCTTGGCCAGAGGGTGCTCAGGCATTGGAACAGGGTGCCCAGGGCAGGGCTGAAGTCACCATCCCTGGGGGGATTTAAAAGATGAGTGACTGTGACATAGGGACATGATTTAGTGGTGGACTTGGCAGTGCTGGGTTAACAGTTGGACTTGATGATCTTAAAAGTCTTTTCCAACCTAAACAATACTGATTCTATGAAGCAGAGACGTGTGTAATGCTGCTGCGGCTATTGGCACGTCAGATGCACAGTGTCTTCAGGCAGGTGACACAAAGCATTGTGTTGTGTTTTATTAATATTCATTTCAGTCCAATGTTGTTGTTTAACCAAGGTGTGTAATTCTGGTTTTCTCTTGTTTTGTGACATTTTTTCCACAGATGTGGGAAGAGGCCATTGCCTTGGGTAAAGAACTTGCAGAACAGTATGAAAATGAAATGTTTGATTATGAGCAACTCAGTGAACTGCTGGTAGGTTTTTAATGACATAGACACTGCAACAATTCCTTTCAGACTTTGATTTCTAAGCTTTTAAAATCATATGGAAAAATCTCTCTTATGACAGAAAGATGCAGAAATAGATGCCCGCTTTGGCTCCGCTGGACAAATGTTGATTAACTGGCCACCACTGGAGGGCCTGAAAAAGAGTGAATTTTTGTTCCTTTAGCTGAAAGAAAAAGATTTCAGCAATGTTAAGCTGATTGATTTGGGGTATAAAAGGAAATTTGGAATTTAAATATAAATGGGAACATGAAAAAATCCCCATTCTCTCTCAAGTGTCTTTCCACATTCACGTTTCTTTTTTTAGGTATGAATAATCCCCAAGCATTCATGTCTAGAGTCAGTTATTTTTGCCCTGACGTTACCCATTCATTATGCCTGCACCGTTTTTTATCTCCTGCTCTTTTCCAAAGAGATAAATGGCAGCTGTCACTGTCCCACCAAACTTCTCAACTGTTTTCACAGGAGCTGGGACATGATAGCAGTTTGATTGTGAAAATTCTTGACTTTCAGGTTTTTGATACATTTTACCTTTGTGCTCACCAGAGTGCATTGTCCTTAATTTAATTTAATTAAACTCTTTGAATTGCTTATCTGCTTTATCCCGGTCTGAACTGGGCATTAATAATGGTGTTGTCATGGTTTAACCCCCGATGGTAGCTCAGCCCCATGCAATCACTCACTTACTCATCCCAGTTGGATGGGGAAGAGAACTGGAAGGATAAAAGTGAGGAAACTCATGGCTGAGGTAAAGACAGTTTAATAGGTAAAGCCACACACACAAGCAAAGCAAAACAAGAAATCCATTCACCCCTTCCCATGGGCAGGCAAGTGTGCAGCCATCTCCAGGAGACAGGGGCTCCATCATGGGTAACGGTGACTTGGGAAGAGAAACTCCATCACTCCCAGCGTCTCCCACTTTCTTCTTCTTCCCCAGCTCTATACACTGAGCATGACTCCATATGGTGTGGCCCATATGGACCCTTGGGTCAGTCGGGGTCAGCTGTGTCCCCCCCAGCTCCTCGTGCACCCCCAGTCTGCTCGCTGGTGGTGTGAGGAACCCCACCAAACCATAACCCTATACCAGCTACTAGGAGGAAAATTAACTCTACCCCAGCCAAAGCCAGCACAGGTCATTGCACCCTCTTTCTGCACTGACACTGATGCTCAGTTTGAGGATGGCCAGGAGCCATCTCCTCAGAAGCATCTCCATCCCCATCTCCCCAGAATCTCCTTTCCTGGGGAGGAAACAATAAAAGTAAATACCACTCCTCTCAATGTCATGGTTTCCTCACTCCTTTACATGTTCCTCTTTCGTCCATGGTTCTGTCCTCCAGCTCTGTCCTCCTTTTGTGGGGTCTTAACTGTTTTTAGTGACAAACTGATTGTATTGATTTGCCTAACGAATCTGGAGCCTGGAGTTATGTCACTGTGTACCACAGGAAGTAAGGGATGTATACCTGGAGGTCCTATGGTGTGCCAGAAGTCTTCCTTGGCCTGCTGCCCACAGGGCTGCATTCAACAGACAGTATTCTTCATTTCAATATAAAAAGAATCTGGTAGAGGTTGTTCCTGAGCTAGAAGTGATTCTCATGTGTCAGATGTGATTATTCACCAGTGGATAGCTACTCTCCAAGTCCTTCATTTTTCATTTTCCATCTCCTTAATGCTTGCACATGGGAACATGAACAGCTTTGTCACAGAGGCAGCCACTCTACTTACCATACTGTGGAGCAGAAGTCTGAATTTACACTTCATACACTGTAGCTGATGGCCAATAATACTGAGTTATGTATTTCTCACCATTCTCTTGCACAGTAAATATGTCATGGTTTACATTAAGTGACATAATTCCAGGCTGTGGAACCACGTACAGTTCACCTGCGTATGGAAATGGAGTTTTTCCCTCTTCTAATAGGGGACACCCAGAACTTCCAATTCTCACAACTGAGTTTGTCTGTTCTTACATATCAGACAGGAGAAATTGAGAGAGATGCCACAAAAATTTGTACTTGAGTGCACTGGGCATTGATCCTTAGTAAGGTCAAGATCAAAATTCACACTTCCATAGGAGTCAGGTCTCCCCTATCCCATCAGCTTTTCTTATTGCTGCCGCTGCAGGTCATTAGCATGCTAGGTCTTCTTTTCTTCATCCCTCATAATAAAATCTAAATGTTTTGGTTTCTTTCTGTTCTCCCGCTTGTCTCTTTTGTTCAAGCAATATTAACTATTAGACTTTTAAGACAATTCACAAATGACAAAACAGTTTTATAACACGTAAGAAATATACAGCAGTGCTGGGTCTTTGTAGTCTTTTTGCCATTTACTGTTATCTCTCGTATGGGAGCAGTAATAAGCCTCCTCCCAAATCAGAATTCATTCTCTTCCAGAAAGTAATAGGCTAAAAATAAGTTAATGAACAGATCGTCTGAAGCTGCACATTTGTTATTATTTCATCATTTGAGATAAAGAAGGATTCTGCTTCGAAACCAGAAGGCGTCTGACGTGTATTTCTTCCAAAATATACATTTTGCTGCAATTCTCAGCTGCGTGCTTTCCATATGCAAATAAATAGTTGTAAATATGGAAAAGAAGTAGTAGAAAAATGAGAAGCTGGCACCCTCGAGATGAGCTGGCTGCAGGCTGTGCTTCATCGTTCCAGGGCTTCGGCATCAGCAGGGTCGTCACCGGGAGTTCTGGCTGCCTTGCAGATTCTTGACCTTCATCAAAATTGAGATATTGGATATGGACCAGTGAAGTTCAGCAAGAGGGGATAAAAGTAATAGCTGCAGAGTCAACTGTATCAAAATGTTAGCACGTGTGTGACAGAAAGGTGAAGAAAAAGGGGCAGATAAAACACGTCCACCTTTAAGCTAGAGATGCACATAGAAGAGAGCTAGATCTTAAGTTTGAGGAATCTCCTACAAGTTTACGTGATTTAATTTCCTCCAATTTCTTTTGCAGAGAAAGCAAGCCCAGTTCTATGAAAACATTGTGAAAGTGATAAGACCAAAGCCAGACTATTTTGCTGTTGGATACTACGGCCAGGGATTTCCGACGTTCATAAGGGTAAGTGTCCACCTTTTTCCACAGCTGATGGAAAAGTTTCTTGCATTGGAAATTTCCCTCAGTTGTGGAGAAAATACATTATTGTATGTCAGTGGGTCATTTACAATCTACCTGACACTGGTGGTTGGGGTTTAGGTGGATAAAAACAAACATGCACAGAATGGTTTGGGTAACCAGGGCCATCTGAAATGGTGACATTTTGGGGAGGTGGGGGGTGTATTTACATATATATATGTATATATGAGTATGACAGAGAAGCCTTTTGTATGTGACCGTGTTTTCGTGTGAGTATTCTTGCATCTACCGTGCATTTTGAAAGGCACCATTGTGGAGCTAAACCCAATTGGGCAAATGTAAACTGTTCCAGGTTGCTACCCCTGGTCATAACACCTTTTTCCTAATAAGTGCTGTATAGTTTTTTCACCAAGAGTTCACTGTGACATGAGCAATGAGGTCAAGCATATTCAGATGCAAGTTGATGTCAAAACTTACTTTAATATGTTTGATCTGTTAAAATCAAGTCGCCTTTTACATTTTTCTTTGGAACTTAATGTTCAGTGTATAAATGGGCTGTATAAGATATTTCTTCATTTTCTTTATTGTTAAAAGAAGAAATCAATACTTAGAAATACAATATACTTAATTTAAAAGTTATGCAGACATGTACAGTGACAAAAATCTAATAGACAGCTATAAAGTCTAGGGTGTATCAGTCTTTCTAGAAGTATCTTTGGACCTTCTCCTAAAATTGGCATAATTTTCTCTTTACTAGCTACTCTTTGCTACTCTTACTAGCTTGCTTCTATGCTTTTTTAATAAATATTTGTGTATAAAAAGCCCAATTCTGTTTACTTACATCCATTCCACCATTAGCTGTGGAAGGTGGATGAGAGGAACTACAGAGGGACATCTTGGATTTGGTGGGGGGTGTAATTTGTCTTAATGCATTTTCAGTGGGCACCAATTGGATACATTCTTGAAATCATGTATTTGGATCCTGTTAAATTTAATGTGGTTTAGCCATATGCCTAAAGATGAGCACATGCTTAATGATCTTAGTACTGAACTGGAGGTAGGGAAATCCATTTGTGCTTTATTGAATTTGCATGAAATATTTGTACTCTACTGATTATATCATAGCATGAGGAATGTAACATTTCTCACTTAACAGCATTGGAGTCAATGGTTCGAAGATCCCAGTTCGTTATTGAGGATTCTGGTATTAGGATCAGAGAATCATAGAATAGTTTGGGTTGGAAGGGACCTTCAAAGCTCATCTAGTCCCACCCCCTGCAATAAGCAGGGACATCTTCACCTAGATCGAGTTGCCCAGAACCACATCCAACCTGGCCTTGCATGTCTTCAGGGATGGGGCATCCACCAGCTCTCTGGGCAGCCTGTGCCAGTGTTTTACTACCCTCGTTGTAAAACATTTCTTCTTCACATCCAGCCTCCCTCTTTCAGTTTAAAATCATCATACCTTGTCCTTTGTCCTGTCCTTCTTATAAGCCCCTTTTAAGTACTGAAAGGCCACACTAAGGTCTCCCCAGAGTCTTCTCTTCTCCAGGATGAACAACCCCAGCTCTCTCAGCCTTTCCTCACGGGAGAGGTGTTCCATCCCTCTGATCATGCCTCTCAATTTGTCTGCAGAACAAAGTCTTCATTTACCGGGGGAAGGAGTATGAACGACGTGAAGACTTCGAAGCACGGTTATTGACTCAGTTTCCAAACGCAGAGAAAATGAAGACGACGTCTCCACCGGGTGATGACATCAAAAACTCCTCTGGCCAGTGTATCCTTTGGTTGAACAGTGGCTCCTGTGGCCACACAGATTGAGGATATATGGCCAACACGAGCAAGAGATGGTCAAACTACTGTCTTCATGGGTGTAACACGTTAGTTCGTTGTTCTCTTCTTCCTTCGTGTTCCCATTAAGCTGCCTTGTCGTGTGATTGAAGTTTGCTTTTCAGTTCTTAACCCTTGAATTCAGACATTCAATGCTTTACTGTGAAGCCCAAACTGGATTTACCATCTAAATTTCACAGGCCAGTGTCGGAACAAATTGTGAGGTGAGTTTGGGTTAGGTTTGCAATTTTATCAGTTTCTTTTATAACACTTTAACTAGTTCTTCATAGAACCATGGAATATTTTGGGTTGGAAGGGACCTTAAAGCTCATCCAGCTCCAACCCCCTGCCACGGGCAGGGACACCTTCCACTAGAGCAGGTTGCTCCAAGCCCCTGTGTCCAACCTGGCCTTGAACACTGCCAGGGATGGGGCAGCCACAGCTTCTCTGGGCACCCTGTGCCAGCGCCTCAGCACCCTCCCAGGGAAGAGCTTCTGCCTCAGAGCTCATCTCAACCTCCCCTCTGGCAGGTTAAAGCCATTCCCCTTGTCCTGTCCCTACAGGCCCTTGTCAAGAGTCCCTCTGTACACAGCCGAGGAGGGTAGCAATTGTGAGGACATTTTATGGGTACTCTTAATATTAACAGTGATTCCATCCAACCCACTGGAAAACAGTGATCCATAAGCATTTGATATTTATGCATAAGCTTTTATTCCAGTACTAGCATTTAGCAGCAATTCCTGAAGAGAGATTATTCCATTTTGATTGTGCTTTTCCCTTTCTTCAGTTTCTACAGGGTGAACGAAGTGCAACGGTTTGAGTATTCGCGCCCTGTTCGAAAAGGAGAGAAAAACCCGGACAATGAATTTGCGGTAAAAAGAAGATCGTAGCATACTTTGGGGCTGTGCTTGTTTATTCCCTTCCATTTGAAGAACCTGAAGCACTGATTATGTCCTTGGTTGTTGAAAAATGAGGTTTAAATGTGATTATTTTTCATAGAAATTCAATGAAACCAATTTATCATGTTTTATAATGGACAGAACTCTCTCTGTCTTCTTAAAAAGCAACTATTTTGATAACTAAGTGTAAAGCCTTTTCAGGCTCTACCTGAAAAGTTACGTATCTCTCACCAAAACTTGTCTTGCCATGAAGATTCCAGTCAGGCATCTAAAAGTCTTTTTGCAGTAATACTTTTATTTGTTAACTAAACCATATGTTTCATATAATGGTCAATAAAACTCCCTTTGAGCACAGCTTGTATCCATCAAAATGTTTACAGCAGGTTACATCAAGTTGATTGCCTTTTTGGTTTTTATAGACACCATTTTATTCACAGGGGTTCTAGTGGGTGCAGTTAGTAGTAAAGTAGTAGTGTAGTAGTAATTAAAGTTAGAAATCAGTGCATATTTCTTGAGCAAGGAACTTGGTTTTCTCTGTAGTAGCACGTTCCAATCCCATCAGTGTGCCACTAAATGCTGAGTATTTGGCTTCCTACAGGTTGGATGGGGCTTGGAGCAACCTGGTCTAGTGGAAGGTGTCCCTGCCCGTGGCAGGGGTTGGAACTGGAGGAGCTTTAAGGTCCCTTCCAACCCAAAGCATTCCAGAACTCTGTGATTCCTTTAGTGTCTGTGGCTTCTCTTGGTGGCTTAACAAAAATCACTGATTTGCTCATCTAGGTGGGTTTAGCTGAGGGGGTAGGAGACCCTTCTTTTCTAAAAACATGGTGCTAGACTGGAGTGCTTCAGTTTCCAATATGTTTTGAGTATAGGTAAAAACATATATCTAAATTACTTTGAAATCACTTCTTCTGTTAATAGAGAATGGCATAACCAATTCTGTTTGCAAAAAGCCTCGTAATAACTAAGATGAATAACCAACGTCTGCCAGTTCTAACAAAGTCAGAATCGAGAAATGTCTTTGATACACGTGTCAAGGAAGACATGTTCAGTCACATATCCTTAAATTCAAAGCAATGAGGAGATGTTACAATGAAGCTGTTGCAGTTTACAGCTCAGACGGAATCACAGAAGCACAAATTCAGGTCAGAATGTGACCTTGGGTCCAACTCCTGCCCAGGGCAGGTCCAGCTCTGGGGTCGGAGCTGCTCAGGGCAAGACTTGAAACCCCTAAGGCTCCTCTGCCCTCCTGGGGAGGGAGTAAGCATTCCACATAACAGTATGTTGTGGTTTTGTGGAGGATGGTCCTTAAAAGCTCTCATGGGAAAAATGACAGTTCAAGTAAAACCACTGGACCTTATAGAAAGTGTTCTCCTTGGGTAAGAGAGCAGTTGTTCTCTACTAAATCATGTACCAGATTTAAATCTGTGCCGGCCACTCCCATCATCTCCCCAAGCAGATACTGTTTGAAATGTCCCCTTGGCTTCACAGTGTCTGTCGTCCTGTGGATTCTTTTCCTGATTGGAATGCTTTAAAGCTTTGCTTAAGATAAAAACTATCAATCTGATAACATGATATTTGTGTTACATTTGCAGAATATGTGGATTGAAAGAACCATCTACATGACTGCATACAAATTACCAGGCATCCTGAGGTGGTTTGAAGTCAAATCCGTTTTCATGGTAAGATCAATTTGTCTTTATTGAGATTGCATAAAAGAATGAGGCTCTTACACAGCCAGGGAGCATTTATATTTCTGTATGGCTGTGCTTCAGTTCTGTGAACAAGCAATCAATGGGACTATATCTGGCATCTGAAGACAAGGGGAACTTGCTTGCTGAGGATGCTGATTATTGACTGAGGGTGACTCAAGTAATGCTTTTCCACTCCTGAGAGGAGCAAATGTGAGCTGACTCTTCCAGGCCTTTAGGGCAAGGTCTGATCAAGTGCTTGAAGTACTTTTATAAAGTATTTCTGGCTTTCAGCAGGTTACAGCCTGTGGTGTAAGCTGTGTGCCTAAAATGAAGGGACCTGAGGGGTTGTAGGGGAGCCCTGCTGCATCAAGGTGAAACTGGTCTGAAGTTTGGAAACAAGGTTTTGGGTGTTTTGATTGTGATTTCCTCAAAATACCCCATAGATCGTATGTATTCTATGTGTCTGCATCTCTTCTCTACTTATCACTTGTGATCAAAGGTTGTTGTTGTTTCTTTTCCATAGTTAGCTCAAATGCACTCTAGCAACCTCACAGAGCAGCTCCAAATTAGGCATTTCTGATCTGCCATTTAGACTGTTTAGATAAGAAATATCCATTAAATTCCTTTAAGATTAAGTTATTCTTACGCAGCTGTAATTTTTAAGTAGCAATAAAAACGTTACTGTAGTGTTTAAATCTCTCTTGTGAGGCTTATTTTTAAAGGAAAAGAACAATTTGCATATGATTAATTAAAACCTTTTTCATTGCTCCATTGAGGTTATGTTGGACAGTTGTATTTAGATGAACAGAAGTAATGCAGAAAATTACTATGGTATCTATAGTAACAGAATATGAATGTGGTGTTTGACAGTAATAGGCAGCTGAATAAAACACATTGAATTTTTAATGAACTTTGTAAGTTCAATATAATCCTGATAGAGAAGATTGTGTTTATTTTCATGATTGCAAAAAGTGTTGTTTGTGAAGGCTGATGAAAGTCTCTTTTCCTTATGAATTAAGAGCACAGGCTGACAGGCTGCTTTGTGCAGGCAATTTGTATACACACACCTTTAACACTACGCTTGTCATCAAAATGGGCATAAATCCTTGGAGAGGGCTTTCTATGAGCTCTTTGTAAGTAGGGAGTATTTTAGTCACGTAGCTGAAAAATGATACCAGAATGGCTTAATAATAGGTGGGAAGGCAGCAATGGGTAACTTTTGACCTAGCTCTGGCACAGTTACTCCAGAATCAGTATGACTTTCTTCAACATTCCTGTCAGCTGGAAGCATGATCACGGGGTTTACATCCTTGTGAGGCTGAATTCTGCCTATGGGTACAGATATTATTGATGTCTCACTAAACATGGTAAATTAAAGTAGCGTTGCACATTTCATGTTTTATTGACAGAGCTAGAATATCTTTAAAGGAAGAGGTGAAATCATATGAAAATAGTGCTGAGAGAGAACTGAGTAATTTAATAAATGCAGTGTATTATGCTACCTAACCCATAGGAACATGCATAATTCCCTTAAATCTATTTGCTTTTAAAATTCCTTCTGATACCTTTTATCTAGACCTTTTCAATCTGTTCATTATCTGCAAGGAATTTGTTGCACACATTCCTTATTCAGTATCTGGTTTGTTTTAGCTGGACACAAGTAGTTGTAGGGGAAACATTTGCTGAGGCCAGGCAGTGAATTAGAAACTGGATTTGGAATTGCACTTGGTTTTAAAAAGCAGAAATATTAGTCTCTGTTTTGCTTTGATGCTTAATTTTTTAGTGTTGCTACGGGATCAGGAGTATATCATTTCTGTTTGCCCTGAATAGATGGTGTAGTGCCCAGAGTTAGCAAGCTACTTGGAAGACTCATAATTTACAAATACAGATATTTTTAATAGCTTTCAGTAAGCTCCAAAGCACAGTTTATAGTAGGAGGATGGGAACTGCAATTCTCCATCTGCTTTTAAAAAATTAGAGGGAGGATTAGAAGAGTAGTAAAAGAAAGGAGAATGAGAAAGAAAGCCATGATTGCTGATACAGAGAAGTCAAAAAAGTCAGCTCAATGAGTGCTAATTTCTGTAGATATTCAAGGGCTTTAAAAGCAATGGTTCATCAACAAATTATTGCATAGTTAGAAGCCCATTAATACAAATGACAGAATCCTAAATTTAGCAGGTGATGCTCACAACAGTTCGTGCTGAATCAGATGCTGAATGTGGTCTTGCTTCCCCAGGCCAAATCGCACCCGCAGCACATCCAGCTCTGAAGGGCAGTCATCATCTGTCCATCTGAGCCTGCTCTGCTCCACAGCCACCAGAGAACCATCGTGCTCCTTAACCTGCCTTCCAGAATAATTCACCAGGCACACTGCTAAAAATGCTAATTAAAGCATCCTTGATGTAATCAAATGGCAGGTGTAAGAGTAACTAAAGAGATTTGATTATAAGTGGTTCTCAGGAACATGGTAAGCAACTGATAGCCAGGTAGAAGTGCTGCTTTGTTTATGTAGCATTTATGTAAATTAGGCTGTAATCAAATATACACTTGCATTTTCCTCGCAGGCCTCAATTAACCTTTCTTTTCTATTCCTACCACGTCATCTCTTTAATGTAAATAAGCTGTGTCTTCCAGTGAGGACTGTCTGTGCCCTGGGTTGCTGCAAGTTAGTAATTTTTACCCCATTCACTAAGTGGCCATATTTCAGCAATATTTAAATGTTTTAATAATGTTTTTCCAACATGAGAAACTGTCAGTTGAAGGACACAGAATCTGGTCGTAACTAACAGCTGGAGATTTTACAAGGGCCTTCAGGGACAGGACAAGGGGAATGGCTTGAACCTGCCAGAGGGGAGACTGAGATGAGCTCTTGGGCAGAAGCTCTTCCCTGTGAGGGTGCTGAGGCGCTGGCACAGGGTGCCCACAGAAGCTGTGGCTGCCCCATCCCTGGCAGTGTTCAAGGCCAGGTTGGACACAGGGGCTTGGAGCAACCTGCTCTAGTGGAAGGTGTCCCTGCCCGTGGCAGGGGTTGGAGCTGGAGGAGCTTTAAGGTCCCTTCCAACACAAACCAGGCTGGGATTCTATGACTTTATGATCAGTCAATTAAAATAAAGCAGGTACAAAAGCTAATTCACCTTATGAAGACATCTGAGGAGCTCCCTTCATCAGGCTATGTGAGAAAGAACATTTCTTCCTTCAGTTATCATCGTTGAGTTGTATAAAATGTGACCTCATGGGAAAAGCACAGCAGCTAGCTTAGAAGTCATCTCTTCAACATATTAAACTTCATTTCCTTGGAAATACACCAAAATAATCACAGCAAAATTATCTGCTTGATATTTGAGCTGCTTAGGATTACATTTTCCATCAGAAAATCCACATTAAGTTATCATTTCTTTCCTATGTTAAGCTGCATCTTCTTTGCACTGCTAAAACACACTGACTTGTAATCTTTGGTGTTCTCTATAATCCTACAAAAACCTCACGTGGTTCCTCTCAGAGCCTTTCTAAACATGGTGCTGACGTGTTGTCTGTCCTACAGCAGTGAAATTCATTTAACTTATCTCCACTGATATTATCATATCAGATCCCAAGTATCTAAATGCCTGAGATGACCCTTTTTGTTAATTATTGAGTGACGTATCTTTTGTTCTGAACCTGTTAAAGTGTTTCTGACTGTGGTGGTTTGGTGGCCAGCTAGTTCTGTAGCAGGTCAGAAGCACCTTGATTATAACCTCCTCTTGTTTTCATTTTAGGTTGAAATCAGTCCGCTGGAAAACGCAATAGAAACCATGCAGCTCACAAATGATAAGATCAATAATATGGTTCAACAGCACTTAAATGATCCAAATCTACCCATCAACCCTCTCTCGATGCTGCTGAACGGCATCGTGGATCCTGCGGTCATGGGAGGGTTCACAAACTATGAGAAGGTAACATCAGGATTGCCTGTCCTTCACCTTTCTGAGATGTGTGTCTGTACATAAACACTATGTGAGTCTCCCCTCACATGTGCTTAGCAGAACATTGCTTAAACGCTACCACTGTCCTTTGGACTCAATGATATTAAAGGTCTTTTCCAACCTAGTTGATTCTATGATTTGAAATGTCTTTCTGGTATTTGTGGATGGATTTTTGCCTTTCTACTTTTGAACTAAGAGTTGATGTGTTTAGCAGCAAGAGTACTTCTATAGAGGCACGGTGGACAATCCCTTACTAGAGTTACACACACTGCCAACATTCCCTTACGTGCTTGGATATCAGAGCTGAGGTGGGAATTTCTGGGTGAACTTCAGTGACCAAAGTAACCAATTGCAATTCTCCCCTTTGCTTTCAGATTTGCTTTTGGCAAACAGATGAGGTTTTAAAGGAGGAATCCAATGATAGAGACTCTGAGATACCAGTCAGTCGCAAATATGTCTAAATAATCTTAACTGCATTTTAAGTTAAGTTAATCTAAACTGCATGTTTGCAGCATTAGCTTTTAAAGTTGTGTAGGATGAGACAGTAACATTGAGAAACTATAAACACTGTATTATTTGTGTTGTGAATATGTGTGCGACTATAGTAGTGATAGAACAAGGGGTTCAAACTTAAACAGGGGAGATTTAGGTTAGATCTTAGACAGTTCTTCCCTGTGAGGGTGCTGAGGCGCTGGCACAGGGTGCCCAGCGAAGCTGTGGCTGCCCCATCCCTGGCAGTGTTCAAGGCCAGGCTGGACACAGGGGCTTGGAGCAACCTGCTCTAGTGGAAGGTGTCCCTGCCCGTGGCAGGGGGCTGGAACTAGATGATCTTAAGGTCCTTTCCAACCCAGATCATTCCATGATTCTATGACTATTAGTCATGCTAAGCTAGCATACACAAACAACACGTATGTCCTAACATAAATGGAGAAGGTACATGCTGATGTACATGTTGTACTATCCATCTGTTGATGTCCTTCTGTAACTCTCACCCATTTCACATCCTATAATTTCTGGAACTGCTAGAAAGACATTTCAGAACTGTGCCAAATCCTCTGCCCATGAGATTTGGTCTTGATCACCATCTGCTCATCTGCCTACTTTGCTGATGTCTTAAGCTTAAAACACTGTTAAATTCTGCATCTCTTTCCTAGATTTTCACTTTGTATTTGTAGCTCTTGCTGGTGTTTTGCAGAACTTTTGGATGGATTCATTTCTCTTTGCTGTAGGTAATTCTGCCATGGCATTAGACATTGATTCACTCCCTGAAATAACTGCTCTTTTCTGTCTCTTGCCCAGGCTTTTTTCACTGACAAATATATGCACGAGCATCCAGAAGATCATGACAAGATTGAAAAGCTGAAGGATCTGATCGCTTGGCAGGTAAGATATTTTAAGTCAGGTTGGTCGGGCTCAACTGCTGTACAAAGGCAGTTTAGTGTCACTTTTGAGAAAAAGCAGACATTAAACTATTCACCCTCTGTACACTTCATTGCCATTTAAAACTGTGTTGGAACTTGAGCTAAAGTGCATCCTTCCAAATCTGACATCATTTGTCTTTTGATAAACCCACAAGGAACAAACATGATCAACCTCTTTTCTTTCTTACTTTCTTTTTATAACCATTATACAGTGAAAATATCCCATCCATATCAGATCAGAAAATACTTTGTAATGATGTTGGTTGGTGTTACTGGCACCTTTTCTAAGGCTGAATTCAGAATCTCTTCTCAGGCAGCAAGATGAAATCCCTAACCCTGAATCCCTTCCCTGCTTGCGCACACAGGGACAGTATGTCTTCAGATATTCACTTCTTTCTTCAAACATCCTATTTTCGACTTATCAAACTTTCTGTCTATACTTCCAGTACCTTTTAGCACAGAATTTTAAATGCAAGAGTTGCAAAACTTAACTTGCATGTGAAATATTTAGTAAATTCATCTTAGATGTCAAACTTTTGTTTTGTTTTCTATATACCTTAACATGGAACAAGAATACTCATGATTCATAAAGCACTTGAAATTAGTTGGTATTTTTATGATGATAAGAAGGAGGAATCATTTAAATGTAAGATCATACAGACAGTATCATTAGATGAACTGGGATTGGAACTCAGGTTTCCAGCCCTAGGTCTGAGACAAAGCAGGAACCTTCCGCATTGAAGAGCCGCTTTACATGTGCCAAAGGATATTTTTCAGGATAAATAAGAGACGATTCCAATTTTGTTCCATAGTCCAATACTGGACATTTTCCATTGGTCTCAAGGTAATTTTATGATCACTGGAAAAACACCGATATGGTTGGAAGCGTTTTCCCCACAGAAGAAGAAAGCACATCATTGTCTTTTTACATTCAATTTATCTTTATAATAAAGGGAATAATTTACATTTCTATAGGATTCAGTCTTGGAGGTGGTAGAACCAAAGATACTGAATTTAACAAAAAAACCCTCTGAAGACCATAAAGCTATAACCTAATAAAAACTCTTTTGGCCTGCAAAAAACTTATGTATGTATTTATTTATTTATTTCCTTGTGAGCTTTTACAGAAGATTAGATTTTAGGAGCTTTAAGTTTTATAGAAGAAAATAATTTGATCCCAGAAGACTTCACTTTATGTCAGCTCCGTGCCTTTGCCTCTGATAGCAATACTTCAAATGAATTACAAACACACTTTCCCTCAGCAAAGATTCACTTTGGTGACATTTATGTATTAAAATAGTATTAGTATTTGAAAATATGCATGGCAGCTAATGATGACATATTTTAATTATTCAGTGGTTTTAAATATGTAATTAAAAACACCCCATCCCTGGCAGTGTTCAAGGCCAGGTTGGACACAGGGGCTTGGAGCAACCTGCTCTAGTGGAAGGTGTCCCTGCCAGTGGAAGGGGTTGGAACTGGAGGAGCTTTAAGGTCCCTTCCAACCGAAACCAGTCTGTGGTTTTGTCATAATTCCCCATCAGTATTGTAGTTCTAAACAATAGGAACCAATAAAATAGAGAAAAGAAAACAAACCCTGGTTTTTATAGCTGAAAAGTTGTTTCACGAAGGATGTAGCCACTTCACAGTGGAAATCAGTGTTTTTCAATTACATTACATACTTCAGATACATTCCATTTATCCTAAGACTTAAACCTCCTCTCACCTAATTTCAGTTTTCCAAGCACAGGCCGCATAAGTGGGGAGGTTGCTGCCTGCCAAGTATTGGCTGGTGTCAGGAGAGGAAATTGTTATGGAAACTTTCTGGAGTGAGCCACTGGTCTTAATTCATCACGGTCTTGACAGTGATGGAACGCAAAAATGAGTTTTCATCTTTCAATAATGTGGGGCTTGGAGTTTTGTAATCACATGGAGATTTGCTTTATGCTGTATAAATCAATCTGGATATATGAAATAGTAGCCTGCCAGTCGTGTTATCAGCTGACTAGTTGAATTTAATTCTTTTCCTATCCCCTTACCTTACCTTTCTCTCCACTGTGCTGTGGAATTCGTACTCTTCGGGATATTATCCCTTCATAAGTCCTGTGAACTTCGAGTGCACAGTTCTGTGAAATAAATATCATTAGTAAAGCACTGTCCATTTTTGTCCATCTTTTTGCTTTTCTGACTTAGGAAGCAAAGTGGAACAACATCATTCCAAGGTCTTTTCTCTTAACATGAAGATAATGGAATAATTGATTGAAATTATGGTAGCAAAATGAATACTTGATGACATCAATCACTCTTTGTTTAGTTTATGCATTTACAGCATTTACCAGAAGTAGCATGTAACATACAGCTGAAAGAATCACAGCATGCCAATAAAGTCGCTATGGTCATATTTTATAGCGTTATTATGAAAGACTTTCTTTTAATATTTGAGCTATAAGATTAATTTTAATAATTCAAATCCATGTCGCTTTTTTATTCCAGCCAAGCTGATGGAGATATTTTAAAAGAAAAAGAAAAAAATCAGGCATTAATTTTAATTTGCAGTGGAACTTCATAAAACTTTAAAATCAACAAAGATTAGAGGTATAAAGTGTTATCTTGAGCTGGTTTCCTTTCTCATGCAGCTCATTGTTTCTACCTCAGCTACTTACTTTACTTTTTCATCCACCTCTCCAAAGGTGAGGGTGCCCTGTAGGGTCTTTTGAAATAGAGCCATAAGCACCACACACACACACCCCCTATTGCTTCAAAACCAAAAGAATTCCCAATATTGTAGTGATATTGTGATATCTATCTCAGTGACATGAGTTAGTTGTGGACTTAGCAGTGCTGGGGTAATGGTTGGACTTGATGATCTTAAAGGTCTTTTCCAATCTAGTTGATTCTATGATTCTATTCTGTGAATGTGGCAAAATCCTGCCTCTGTCTCTGCATCCGACACAGATTCATAGAGGTTTAAATCTCAGTGTCACTCATCACCAGATTTCTTTGTGTCAGTGTCTGGCAAGGAGGTGTAGGAGGAATTCTGAAGTGGTTAGAAGGTGAAGCAGAAATGGTAAGATAGTCTGAAGGTAATTTCTTTCTGCACTTGATAAATGTTTAAAGGATTAACTGGCCTTGGACATGGACACCAAATACCCTGACTCAGAAATCTCACAGAAGTTCCATAGCAAAATCATTGGCAGTTTATTGAATTCAGCTTCTGCTAAGGAATAACGAGTCTTTCCTTCTTCTTCTATGGTTTCTGGTCGTCTTTGATTCCCACATAGTTGGATTGCCTCCTCTTGCCTGTTCCTCAGTCCCTTGACTTAACAGTTCCAGTTGGCCTTTAGGTGCTCATGTTCTCCAAACCTACGCTCACTCCAGCAGACCTGGCCATCAAGTCTCCTGTTACTTTGCTTCTCATGCTGGTTGTATATACCTGGTGTGTATCCCAGCAGTGAAACCCTCCTTGGCACCTTCAATTTGGAAGTGGCTACAGTCAAAGCAATCTGTCATTATTCTTCCTCTGTAGTCTTTTAAGAGAATCTGTGTCCATTTAAACAGTGCCAAATCACAGAGAATCCTCGTGATAAGATTTCTTGAGTTTGTTCATCTGTAATTCACCTGTGTATTTATTATTCTCCTTACTAATAATGCTGCTGCTTCTGATTGCTGCTCAGTCCTATTAGAAAGATCTGGTTTTAATCAGTATTATGATTTAATTATGAATTATGAAGAAGCAGCCTCTTAGCTTGATTGATGCAGAGAAGACCTACGTTTGAATCAGAGCACTGTGTGGGCTGAAGCAGACCTGGAAGAGGAAATATTTTCCTAAGCTGGAGGTAGCAAACTCTAATGGTGTGTCTGGATGGCTGTGGGAATGAAAATGTCTCTCTTAAACCATTTTAAAAGGTCAGCTACACCTCCACACTATGAACTAATTCTATAATCCTCTGTTGGCAGGGATATTCTGTGACAGGAGCCTTGAAGATAAATGATTATTTTCAGTTACAACAGAGAATTAATTTAATTTTATTCTCCTGTTTTGTTCCCAAAGAAAATAAAAGAGTTTTTCTAAGGAGAAATGTCTAGTACATAAAACTGTATGTTTTATTAATAAATACTGCTCTGTAATATATACACGTCAGAGGATGTAGACCATTACCAGTTATATAAATAGGATTTATTAAACAAAGCATACAAGTATTTTCTCCTTTAAGGTTATATCCTCACGAAGCAGGGAGAGGACTGGTATTAATAACCTGGTGTGAGAGTCAGCATTCATCAGTTTGCCATTTGGAAGTGCAGCGTGTATGGGGGCCTGTGAATACAACAGCACAGGAATGTTTGTGCTGTCTGATAAATTCGGCTGTGCCTCCAGTGTGTGATTACAGGGCAGAGCTATGGGTGTATTCGTTTTAGAGGACTTTAGTTAACAGAGAAAAAAGGAAATCATGTATAATAGATTTTTAGATCCTTTTTTACTGTGTTATGATTCATAGACAATGAATTATGATGATCGTAAAACCATAGACACATAGAATGGTTTGTGTTGGAAGGGACCTTAAAGCTCCTCCAGCTCCAACCCCTGCCCCGGGCAGGGCCACCTTCCACTAACGCAGGGTG